TTGAAAGGTTTCTTACATTTAGCACATTGTTTTAAATGTGACAATCATTAAATTTTAGAAGATATATGATTAAAACTATAAAGAAAGATTCGTTTAAAAATGTATTTCTGAGTCTAACTTCATGCTGTTATGTGGCCCAGAGTGGCAACACGTGGCTGAGACCTAACCTGCAGCTCTCAGGGAGTGGTGAGAAAGGAGAACTTGTGACTATGAGAGACTCTCCCTTGCACACACCACACTTTCCATCCTTCCCTCTTTGTTGTTCATTCTTTCCCAAATTTTCAGGTGCCTGACTAGAAAGATTAGTATATCTTCAGAACATAATATTGAATCAGCCTATGGAAAATTAATGTAATTATTATGTTCATTTCCAGATGTTGGCTTAATGCCAGCCTATTAAAACTTCTAAAGATGAAGCTTAAAACAAATAATCATTCTGAGGAAACACCCAAATGAAGACACGCCAGCAAACTCAGTGACGATCTGAGGCGATGGTAAAAATCTCCAGAGGGTATTTCAGAAATTGATTATCTCCATCACAGACTGGTATTGGCAGTCAGAATTTCCTTAGCCCTCTTCAGCCTTTTCTTTCTAAAGAGCCTCCAAATTCCTTGCTGCTCCTAGTCCTTAGCCTCTTTCCATTGGTCTTTCTTGCCCGTCTACCTCCAACCCTCTCCCTAAATCGTCTATGACATCCTTGTGATGGTTAATATTGAGTCTCAACTTGATTGGATTGAAGGATGAAAAGTATTTTTCCTGGGTGTGTCTGTGAGGGTGTTGCCAAAGGAGACTAACATTTGAATTAGTAAACTGGGAGACTCAGACCCAGCCTCAATCTGGGTGGGCATCATCTAATCAGCTGCCAGCATGGCTGGGATAAAAGCAGGCAGAGGAACGTGGAAGGACTAGGCTGGCTGAGTTTTCTGGCCTCCATCTTTCTCCCACACTGGATGCTCCCCGCCCTCAAACATCGGACTTCAAGTTCTTCAGCTTTTGGACTCTTGGACTTATACCAGTGATTTGCCAGGGCCTTTGGGCACTTCGGCCACAGACTGAAGGCTGCACTGTCAGCTTCCCTACTTTTGAGGTTTGGGGACTCGGACTGGCTTCCTTGCTCCTCAGCTTGCAGACAGCCTATTGTGAGACTTCACCTTGTGATCCTGAGTCAATACTCTTTAATAAACTCCCTTTCATATATACATCTATCCTATTAGTCCTGTGGTTGTACAGAACCCTGACTAATACAATCCTCCTGACCGCACTGTGGTATCTCACTGCATCTTACACAGAGGGCTGGTTTCCTATTCAGGGTTTTGAAATTCAAAGGAAAAAAAAAACCTTTCCTTTTGTTCAGAAGGGTCTCTGCTCCCTCCTCCTGCCTTCCCTGTACCTCACAAGGAGAGGCAGAGTGGCCCTGAAGCCACACTGTCCTCACAGCCCTGCCTTGGATGGGCCTCTACTCTTTGCTCTCCTATATCCTCAAGCAGTTTCCTGGGCTGTCAGAACCTTGGTTTTCTCATTTATAAAATTTTGGATAATCATACCTATTTCCTTGGATTGATGGAATAAAAAGGATAATTTACATACACAGTGGCTGGCACATTATAGAGGCTCAATAGATGGTACTGTAATTACTAACTCTAGGCATTTTACTACATTTTATCTTCTAAGCTTTTTTAGCCTCTACCTGTAAATTATTGGTATGGTTGAAATAATTCTCCCTGCCCTTTAGAATGGCTTAACTTTTTTTGTTGTTCCTGATTCAAGTTTTTGTTAAATCCCTGGATTCCTGAAAAGTGAGAGGTACAAGAACTCAAAGACTAAATACAATGTACCATCTCGCAGTAGAGTTTGTTTGGTTCTAAAAATGACTAGGGAAGAGAAATTCTTCACTTTCATGGGATTCTTGGGGGGTAATATTCACGTGTTACAAAAATTATTCTTAATTTAATCTTCTTATTTTTAATTATACTCCTTATACTGGGCTAAAAAATTATATTCTTTTAATATTAATTCAAGCTTCTATCGAGTGATTTTTAAGTCCAACTGCTTAGTTCTATATGGCCAAGCTACACATTTCTAGTCTGTCATAAGTGAATTTCTAATTATATTTCTCCCCTATTTCTTCACTTCCTGGAGTCTGTTCCTGGACTGAGGCACCAATGGTAAAATGATGGGGATAACTTTTGTAAACCAAACATAAAATTCTAAGTCCCCCCTCAATCATCTGAATGGACTTCCTCCTCAGTCAGGGCACTCTTAAAATGTAACCTGAAAGACTGGTTCAGGCCAAGATGGGAAGTGGGGATTGAACATGCCTCATTATACCTCTCCAGCATTAACATCAACACAGACTTTAAGTCTCATAAGAAACATTTTACAACCTAGTCTCTCTGAAGCCTACTACCTGAAGGCTTCCTCTGCAAATAAGAACTTTGGTCTCCACAATCCTTTATCTTAACCCAGATATTCCTTTCTATTAATCCCAGATCTGTCGAGAAACTCAACCAATTATCAATCAGAAAATTTTTAAATCTACCTATAAGCTGGAAGCCCCCTGCTTCGAGTTGTCCTGCCTTACTGGACCAAACCAATGTATTTCTTTTTTTATTTTATTTTTTATTATACTTTAAGTTCTAGAGTACATGTGCACAACGTGCAGGTTTGATACATAGGTATACATATGCCATGTTGGTTTGCCATCAACTCATCATTTATATTAGGTATTTTCCCTAATGGTATCTTTCCCCCAGCCGCCCAACCCACAACAGGCCCCGGTGTGTGATGTTCCCCGCCCTGTGTCCAAGTGATCTCATTGTTCAGTTCCCACCTGAGCGAGAACATGTGGTGTTTGCAAATCAAAGTATTTCTTAAATGATTGAAGTCTCAGGTCTCCCTAAAATGTATTAAATATAAAAGCAAGCTGCACCCTGACCACCTTGGGCACATGTTCTCAAGTCTTCCTACGGGTTGTGTCAGGGACCATGGTCATTCATATTTGGCTCAGAATAAATTTCTTCAAATATTTTATGCAGTTTGACTCTTTTTTTTTTTGAGACTTTAGATAACCCATTTACATCATTCAAAATTATTAGCTTCCAAATCACACTCAGGAAACATAGCTGAGATTCAATGTCAATAACTTCAGTGGCCTGAGATTTTATTTTTAAAATAATGATGTCTATTGATGTTAAACTTTAATAAACAAGCACTGATAGCACCAATTTTTGAGAAGTAAATAAAATTAGCTTCTACAATACTTTAAACAAATATAAAATTAAACTGGAATTCAGTCTCAACTTCTTCATATTTATTCCTCCTATGAGATGAAATCCAGGATTGGTCAAATCATTATAATTAAGCATCATTATTCTGGACAGTAATCCAGATAGATAAATGTAAAAATTAAATACTGATAAATAGTCTTGTACATGTTTCATAAAAGTGTGACTATTAAAATTGATGCACACAGCTATACATGTGTCCTTATCTATTATTAATGTAAATAATTGTCTCCAAATATATTAATGATTTTTTTCAATGCACATTTTACAGTTGACAGCTACTATTTTGGGGAAAATTGATGGCTATTTCTGAGCCATAGATAAAAGTGTTTACGGCCGGGCGCGGTGGCTCAAGCCTGTAATCCCAGCACTTTGGGAGGCCGAGACGGGCGGATCATGAGGTCAGGAGATCGAGACCATCTTGGCTAACACAGTGAAACCCCGTCTCTACTAAAAATACAAAAAACTAGCCGGGCGAGGTGGCGGGCGCCTGTAGTCCCAGCCACTCGGGAGGCTGAGGCAGGAGAATGGCGCAAACCCGGGAGGCGGAGCTTGCAGTGAGCTGAGATCCGGCCACTGTACTCCAGCCGGGTGACAGCGCCAGACTCCGTCTCAAAAAAAAAAAAAAAAAAAAAAAAAAGTGTTTACACCTTGTCATAGATCATTTTGTGCTGCTATAATGAATAACATATTCCATAGTACCTGAGACTGCACAATTTATAAAGAACAGAGATTTATTTCTTATGGTTCTGGAGGCCGGGAAGTCCAAGGTTAAAGGGCTCACATCTGGTGATGGCCTTTTTGCAGTATCCTCACATGGCAGACAGTCACAAGAGCATACATGAAAGAGCAAGAGAGGGCAAGAGGGGGGCCAAACCCACATTTAGCTGGAACCCACTCCCAAGATAATGGCATTAATCCATTCAGGAGGGTGAAGCCCTCATGGCCTAGTAATAGGCTCACCATCTTTCTTAATAGTCTCACCTCTTAATATTGTCACAGTGGCGATTACATGTCAACATGAGTTTTGGAGGTGACATTCAAACCACAGCATACTGGATTCAGTGGCATATCATATGGACTCTGAAGCATCCCCTCCAGGGATGTACCCTGAGGTTTTTCAAAGGCAACTGCCTCTTAAAAAAAAGGTTTTCTTGCATTGGCTCTTGGAGGACTTGTTTTATTTCTTTAATTATTTCAAGTTTAAAATAATTTCACATCTCATTTGACCATTCATGGTAGTGTTCTTTTTTTCTTTTTCTGTGATGTTATTAATAGAGTTGTCTGTGTTTACAATTTGTATCTTTCTTGTGTCGCTTTCCCACAGAACATATATTTGTCTGAAATTCCCTTGGATTTCTCAGAGCAAGCATTATTTAGAATATCTGCATCAGGTCTATTCCAAGTTCCAAGGAAAAACTCATTTAATTCCAATGAGAGGGTAGAAGTAATGTTAACAGGGATTCAAAAAGTGAGAAATTGTACATTTTTGCCTATACATGCAGTTCCCACTTCTTGTTGAATTCATATGATTAATTTTCTTTGCGATTTATTCAGTCATTTTGTTTACTATATTACTGCAAAATAGAAAAGTAAGATCTGGGGTTTTCAAAGATCTTAACTGATGCTGTAAGTGACAAAACGTTATCTGGTCATAGCTCATCTTTTTTTTAGGTGTTTGTAAAAGCTATATTCCTGGTGTTTTTGTGAGCTTACCTTGTCTGACGGCTAGTGTGGTGGTATAGACCAAGAAGAGAAGAATGTAATTGAGGAAACTCTGGAAGACTGGTGTGTTGGCATGGAAATCTTCTGACAGATACTTGCTAGTCAAGCCAATTCCACAAATAAGGAGGGATAACACCTGGCCCAGGGCCACAGAGATTAACATCTCCCTGAGAAATAAAGAAAAAAAAAAAAACAGCAAAGGTCAGCAGGAAGCCCATTAAAACAACAGCAGTTAAAATTTTTTGAGCACTGGTAGCATGCACTGGGTTAAGTGCAATTAAATATTATTCCCTTTAGTCCTTCACAGCAATCCCTTGAGGAAGGTGCAATGATTACTGAGATTTTACAGAGAAGGAAACCAAAGCTTAGAGTGGTTAAGGAGTTTGCTCACAGTCATGTAACTAGGAAGTGGCAAAAAACTGGGATTTGAGACCAACTCTCTGAAAGAGCCTGCCTTCTAGCTACTGACCTCTTGGTGCCAATGGGAGTGGGGAGTGGGTGGCATTATCTTGATGCTCACCATAGTATTAATGAAATATTTAGTGATGGCGAGACAGTACCTGAACACTGACTAGGAGGGACCATATTCCCGCCTCATCCTCAGGTTCTTGTACCAATAAAGGGAGACTCTTTTCTTCATAGATTGAAATCCCAGATCCAGAAACCCCTGTGTGAAATGGCTATACACTATACATGTCCCTGAAAACCAGAAGGACCATCTGCTGTCCATTCCCAGACTCTAGAACTCAGTTTGCTCTAGGAAGCTTTGATGAGCATTAGGTGTCTGCTCTCTTCTGCTCAAGTTACAATTGCCTACACACTAAAACTGCTATTCATGAAGGAGATTCAGTACTGTGATGATGTAATACAACCTTTCAAATTAAGCCAATTTTTTTGTGGCTTTTTCATAGGCACTGCCCCTATAGACCTCTGTAGCGGGGACTACAGGCAAGGTTCAAGGTGTTCATTTTGCATACAAATAAAATGCCCTCACAAGCTTTATGGGCACATACAGCCACATGCTTTTACACAGAAAAAGCCCCTGGAAATACAAAGCAGATTTCTGCACTCCCTGAAAGTCGCATCTGACTTGTCTGGTTTATTTATAGAAAGAGTAATATAATAGAAGCAAGCAGTAGTATTTCTTTCAATAAAAGTTTTATTTTATTTTTAACTGACACATAATAATGGTACATATTTATGCAATCCAGTCTTACGTTTCAATACATGTTCACATTGTATAATAATCAAAGCAGAACAATTGGCAGATCAAAAATTTATCATTTCTTTGTGGTGAGCACATTCAAAATCTTCTCTTCTAGCTCTTTTGGAATATACAACACATTATTGTTAACTATATCACTCTAGTTTGTAACGTAGCATTATTTCTAAACAAAAAGCTTTAGGCAAAGGATTTGCGGTGTTACATATTTAGTCCCCCATAACAGATGTGAGTCCAATTTTCTGGAATGAGCACAGAGTCCTGGGCAGTACTTTGGTTGTATTTTGCTTTAAAAAAGAAAAAACATCAGCTATATTTTGTTCATTCCATCTGCTTCCAAGAGGAGGAAAAACTGTGGCAAGGCATGTGGGCATGCAGAGAAGAATTTTCTGAGGTTAACCTATTTCCAGGTACCGGCTCCTGACCTCTGAATTCAATCTCTATAAAGAAGCCAAATACATACTTCTAAACATCCACGTTTAAAATGTCAGTATGCTGCTTAAAAATCTTACAATAGTTCCTTACAGAATGCAGAGATCTATAAGGTCTGCATTGAACATCTGCAAAGATGCCTGCCGACATAGCCTTCACATTCCTGCTGCTCTGCCCAAAGGGAGGCAGGGGTCTCTTTCTCCTTTTCTGGAAGCTGAGCTGGTCTTGGGACTTGCTCTGACCAACAGAACATGGGGGAAGGGATGTCATGTGACTTCTGGGCCTAAGCCTTATAAAGCTCTACAACTTCCATTTTCTGCCCTCATAAAACATAGCTTCCATGTACTTCAGTTTTGAGAGCATGTGAAAAAAAGAGAAATCCAGCCAGCCATCACTGTCCTGACATGTGAGTGAGGCTTCTGGATTCTCCTGCCCCAGTCAAACCATGCCAACATATGCCACCATGGAGCAGAGATGAACCACCCCGAAAGATTGCTGCCTAATTGAAGAACTGCGAGAAATACATGAAGCTGTTTTAAGGCATGCAGATGTACAATGGCTTGTTACATGGCCAACAAATAACTGAAATCATGTCCTAAACACTCTCCCTCCATTCCCACTACCTCTGGAACATGACCCTCTGTTTCCCTGTATTACTCCTCCATGACGCACTTTCAGCCTTACAGAGCTACTTGCACTTCAGCAGTGAGTCATGGTCTTCTGTGCCTGCATTCCCTTGCATGTGTTATTACTTCCAAATGTTCATTGTGCCTTTGCCAGTCTGACTCTTATGCATCTTTCAAGATTTGGCTTCTATGTCACTCCCTTTGAGAAGTGTTACCTGTCTTCTCTTCCCTGGGATGCATCTCTTTGTTACTTCTATCTCATTGTATTGAAACTAATGCCTTTACACTTCTTGCCTCAGCTGGACTGTGATGCTTGTACCATGTTCTTCACTGTATCTACAGCCATGCAGTACCATTGAAAGGAAGTAGAAAAGTAGACAGTGCAGAGGAGGCCTAGGCAACATGAAACAGTTTATTGAAATAAAGGGGATGATTAATAAAAGAAAGAAAGAAAGGTAGAGGTAAAAAGGAGTACCAGAATTAACTCAAATGATTTTTAAAGGCCAGGTACAGTGGCTCACACCTATAATCCCAACACTCTGGGAGGCTAAGGCAGGAGGATCACTTGAATCCAGGAGTTTAAGACCAGCCTGGACAACATAGTGAGTCTTCATTTCTACAAAATATTTAAAAAATTATCCAAGTGTGATGGCACGTGCCTGTAGTCCCAGCTCCTTGGGAGGCTGAGACAGGAGGACTGCTTGGGCTTGGGAGGTCAAGTGTGTAAGTGAGCCATGATTACACCATTGTACTCAAGCCTGGGCTACAGAGCAAGACCCCACCTCTTATAAAAAAATTAAAGGTTTTTAAGACTGCCTAAGATAAGTATAATACCTACTGACAAAAATAATGATAAGGAGCTGGTTTTAGTGGAGAAACAATACATATTTTAGGTATAGTGAACTTGAGATGCCAGATGAACTTCCAAATGATCCAGCAGCATTAGTAGCATGGGATCAGAGTGGGATAGGGAGGTCAACAAGGAGATAAATATGCAGAGGTTATACTCATAAAAGTGATGGTGAAAATACCGGAAATGGATAATAGCCCCAAGAAAGGGAGAGTAGGAGAGAAAGTAAGAGAGCCTTGGGAAATATCTTTGGGGAATCCCAAGGTTGGAGGTGGATGAGGGAGAAGAAGCACATCACTGGAGTCGGAAGTGGTTAGAAGGCTAAGAGGAAGAGCAAGAGAGTTTTGGTGTTAAGGAAACCAAAAGAAAAGAGACATTCATGGATTGAATAGTTGTAATACTTAATGTTGCTTAGAGGGTAGAGAGAATGAAGACTGACAAGACATAATTTGTAGTCACTGTCATCCTTTAAGAGTCTTGGTTGAGTGGAGAGGAACAGAGTAGCATTGGTGTCATGAAAACCAAGAGAACAGAGAGTTTCATGGAGGGGATAGCTAGCAGGGACTAAATGAAAAGGAAATGGTGAGAAATTAAAGGTGTTGACTTTGCAGAATTTTGAAGAATTCAAAAAATTCATGGAAGGAATTTGATATAGTCACCATGTAACAATATCAATGATAGTTAAAATAATAATGTTTAAAATGATTTAAAAATTAATTAAGCTTATCCTATCACTGGATCATTCTTGATTATTTGCATAATAACTTACATTCCCAAATGGAAGAAATATGACTAGAGTTACAACTAATATATAAGCGTTGTTCTTGATGCTGAGTATGTCTCCTGGAGAATGCTATGTATGGAGAGCATCTCCTTGGGACAAGAAGGGTGAAAACTATTGCTATGACATGGATTCCTGCAGCTCTATAAATTACAACTATAGTGTTCAAAACTTTGGCAATATGCTATGCCTTTCCTGAACAAAATCACACCACAAATAAATGACAGATTACTTATATAAGAGAATACAATTTTAGTCTTTCTTATGTATATGCGCCAACATAGTATAAAATAGCATTCTATATGCCATACACTATACATGTAAAGATGAACAAGACACAGTCCTTGTCACTGGAGAGCTACTAAACTAAGATTTGGGAGCTAGGTCCTCAAATAACTTAGTATAAAATGGAGCCAATTAAGCTAAAACAACAATAATAATTCATATTTAGTAAGTTCTTACTATGTGCCAAGCCATGGGCTTAGACTTACACATATTATCTCAGTTAATCCTCATAACAACCTTATAAGGCAGCTATTATTACTGTTTGATTTTATAGATAAGTTAACTGATGCTTAGAGAAGTTAAACAAGCAGCCCAAGGTCACAGAGCTAACAAGGGGAAGAGTTTGGATGCAAACTAGGTTATGCGGTTCCAAATCTCAACTTTTTAACTACTATGCTGTACTACTATTTTGGTGGCAAAAATATACTCTGTGCCCTCATAGAGTGCAAGAACTTAGAGTTAGCAACCTAAGTGGTTGGTTTCCAGAAATATTCTAGAGGCGGTAAAGACAAAAACAAGTCTGGGACTGACCCTCTGATGAAAACTCTTGCATCAAGATATCTGTAATGTGTGCCTTTCAACAAGAGGTCAATACAAATCTATTCTTGTTTCTTCAGTCAAACAAAACATCAAGTCTGCTGTATTCAATTTCTGCTTTTAATTAGTGGCCATGTCATTCAGCTGCTGGTGGTGTGATTTGATGGAGAATACAAATTATGGTTTTATTGGTCATGCTAATGAGCACGACATGTAAACCGGAAGGAGTGAAAGGAATCTTTTATCAGATTAGATCATGAGTCTTTTTCCTACTGCAGGGAGCTAGATATTGTAGCTATTGCAGCCTGCATATCTGAGCTAGTTCCTAGAGTCACCAAATAAATAAGTAAATAAAAATAGAAATAAACCTAAATGCCTAAATGTTGACACTCTGCTAACTATGCCCCTTGCCCTGCCATCTTGCCCTGATCAAA